GCATGTGTGCTTTCTGCTCGCCAAGGTGGCTGAAAGTTTTTGAGGGTGCTGCTGCAGCTGCTTATGGTCTCACTTGGGTACCTGGTTACCTTGCCTTAGTGAGTTGTTGTGACCCCGAGGTTTGGAGCCCTAAACAAGTGCAGAGGGCAGGAATAAGCTTGCAGAGAAGCAGTAGTCTCACTACTTGCATCCCAGGTCACAGGGCAATGCAGAATGCTGCCTCCCTCTGGCCCACCATCTTGGATCCAAAAATAAAAATCTTTGTGTAACAAGGTGAAAACAAAACTAGTCCAAAGATGTAAAGAGGTCTGACTCCAAGTAGAAAGAAATTTGATTGTCAATTTTGCCATGATTAACTGTATATTTCTAATGTATTTAGGAGATAGGAAGTTTTGATTGTGAGTTAATGGTTAAGACTATTTTTCAAAAAAATTAACAGGTGCACTGATTCACACAGTCTCACCTCTCTTCTTAACTAACTTATATATTGCCATTCTTCCATACATTGAAAAGGAAGTTCCCATAGCAGTTCATATGAGAAATGTTCAACTGCCTCCTGAGGTCTGCCTAGTTGGCATAATAGATGCTCCTCTACTTTACTCTACCATACACAATTTAAACAGATGAATTTCAAGCAACAATATAGAGGATGCCATCAATAGCCTACCAACGCCCCAAATGCCCAGGATGGATGCACAGCTGAGTTTTACAAGCTTTATAAATGAGAACTTATAATGCTTCTCAAACTATTTCATGAAATAGAAAAAGAGGGAACACTTCCAAACACATTCTATGATTCCAATATCACCCTGATTCCAAAACCAGAAAAAGACTCATCGACAAAAGAAAACTTCAGACCACTATCTCTAATGAACATAGATGAAAAAATTCTCAATAAAGTACTGGCAAGTGGAATACAAAAATATATCAAAAAGATAGTGTGCTATGATCAAGTAGGTTCATCCCAGATATGCAAGTTGGTTCAACATACAGAAATCAATAAATATAATTCATTGCATCAATAGAATCAAAGACAAAAATCCTATGATCATCTCAATAGATGCAGAGAAAGCATTTGACAAAAAGCATCCCTTTATGTTCAAAATACTAGAAAAACTAGAGATATCAGGAACATACCTCAACATTGTAAAGGTTAACTATGCTAAGCCCCATTGCAATATCTTTCTAAATGAAGAGAAATTGAAAGCATTCAATCTAAAAACTGGGACAGGACAGGGATCCCCTCTTTCACCACATCTAATTTACAGAGTCCTTGAAATTTTAGCCAGAATAATTAGACAGAGGAAAGAAATTAAAGGGGTACACATAGGAAAAGAAGAATTCAAATTATCCCTGTTTGCACAGGATATGATTCTACACCTAGAAAACCCAAAACATTCCACCAGAAATCTTCTAGGTCTAATAAATGAACCCAGCAAAGAAGCTGGATATAAAATCAACACCCACAAATCAAAGGCATTTCTGTATATCAGTGACAAATCTTTAGAAATAGAAACTAGGAAAACCACTCCATTTACAACAGCCTGAAAATAAAATAAAATAAAATAAAATAAAATACTTGGGTATCAACTTAATGAAAGAGGTGAAAGACTTCTTCAATGTAAACTATAGCATGCTAAAGAAAGAAAAAAGACCTTAGGAGATGGAAAGATCTCTCATGCTCTTGGATAGGCAGAATTAATGATGTCAAAATGACCATACTACTAAAAGTACTATACAAGTTCAGTGCATTCCAATCAAAATCCCAATGGCATTCCTCATAGAAATAGAAAAAGCAGTCATGAAATTCATTTGGAAAAATAAGAGACCCAGAATAGCCAAAGCAATCCTTAGCAAGAAGGGTGAAGCTGGTGGCATCACTATTCTAGACCTTAAACTATACTACAGAGCAATAGCAACAAAACAGCATGGTATTGGCACCAAAATAGACCTGTAGAGGATACAGGATAGAGGACACAGAGCCTAACCCACATAATTACAGTTATCTTATATTTGACAAAGGCACCAAAAACATACATTGGTTAAAGATAGCCTGTTCAGCAAATGGTCCTGGGAAAACTGGAAATCCATATGTAAGAAAATGAAATTAAACTCCTATCCCTCACCATGCACAAAACTCAATTCAAAGTTGATCAAGGACTTAGGAATTAAACCCGAGACACTGCAACTATTAGAAGAAAATGTAGGCCCAATTCTCCATGATGTCAGATTAGGCCTCAACTTCCTTAATAAGACTCCTATAGGACAAGAATTAATATCAAGAATCCATAAATGGGATGCATTCAAACTTAAAAGATTCTTTTCAGCAAAGGAAACAATCAGTGAGGTAAATATAGAACCTATTAATTAGGAATAAATTCTTCCCACATGCATGTCAGATAAAGCACTAATCTGTAGGATGTATATATCACTCAAAAACCTTAACACCAAAAACACAAATAACTCAATCAATAAAGGGGCCAAGTACCTGAAGAGACACTTATCAGAAGAAAATATACAATCAATCAACAAATATATGAAAAAATGTTCAACGTCTAAATCAATTAAAGAAATGCAAATCAGTGAGATTTTTCTCACTCCAGTCATTTAATTACCCTAAATGCAGCTAATAATAAGAGAAACAATGATAAGTGGTGGTAAGGATGTGGGGAAAAAGGCATACTCATACATTGCTGGTGGGATTGCAAACTTGTGCAGCCAATATGGAAAGCATTATGGAGAATCCTTGAAAACTGTGAACCAAAACACCATTTGACTTAGCTATCCCACTTCTCTGCTTATACCCAAAGGACTTAAAAGCAGCATATACAGGAACACAGCCTGGGTTCGAACACAGGAGGCCCTGGGTTTGAACCCCAGCACCACAAAACAAAGATACAACAATAAGTCAGAAAGACTTCCCTCATCTCTACTGGCCTCTCTCGGCCAAGGTCCTCCACTTTAAGCAGAACCCTGCAGACACCTGGAGGAGGACCTGACTATGCCCCACATGTTGATTTCTGCAACTTACAAACAAGGCACAGAGCCACCCACCCCTGCAGACCAGACCCAGAGCCAGCGACTGTCACCACAGCATGTTACCGTTGCTGCTGCCATGGCTGCAGGGTCAGCAGTGGCTGCAAACAAGGAGAGGGGGTCGGTCCCATCGAGGACACTGCTCAGCGGGTCCACCACGGAGCTGGAGGAGGATGACGACGTGGAAGAGGTGCTTCCTTTCCGGTTCACCTTCTTTGTCTTTGATTCTGTGACCTGTGGGGAATATGCATGGTGCTGCCATAGGGGTCCCCCTGCCCTTGCCCAGGGGACACGCTGGAGCTCCTCTCATTCTGGATGCTGGCCTGACTGTTCCTGGCTTCAAGGGCTTATGGGTACCAGGCTGCAGGAGAAGGGTTTCATCTAGGTGACCCAAAATAAAACATAGCCCAGCACCAAGAGCAAGCCAAGCTCACTGGCCAATCAGAAGCCACTCACTGCCTTCTATCTGTAGATTAATCAGAAAAGGCCCACCAGCCTCCGCAGGAAACCACCACTAAACCCTGCCCACCGGTACCTCGCTAACCAATCAGAAGCCACAACTGCCTTCCACCTGGAGACCACCAATCAGAAACAACCCACCAGCCTCTGCAGAAAACCTCCACTCCAAACAAATGTCTCCCCGCTCTGGCTTCGCAAGACCCCTATTTCCCCAGTATGCACCCTTGCTTAAGTCTCAAACTAGTTCAAATTTTTACTCATCAGCTTTATCTTTTAATGGAAGGGAGCAACTGGGCCGGGGCCACTATGATGTAGAAGGTGACAATACCAGGCCAGGTCTCCGCCTCTGGTTCCTGATGCAGAGCCCCTATCCCCTGGGGATTCCTAGCTGACAGGAGTGTCTCTTTCTCTAATGAAGAGACTCGGTGGCTCCTGGACAGGGGCTGGTCACCTGGGAAGGCAGAAGCTGGGAACTTGCAGCCCCTACCCTCCCCGAGGGGTAGGGGTGGGGCGCAGTAGATAACCTTGTCTGCTGTCAAAGCTACCTAAAAACTCCTCAAAGAAGGGGTTTGCACATAGGCACCTCGAGGGGCTGGCGGGTGGCACAAGCTCTGCCGCTTCCCCCAACCTCACCCTGCACACCCCTTCCTCTGGCTGATCATCAGCATCCTCTAATGTCCTTTAGGATAAGACAGGACACCTCAGTGAAGAGCTTCCCCGAGTGCTGGGGACCATCCTAGCTAGAAATGGAACCCAAGGAGGGCATAAGGGAACCCCAATTCGTAGGTTGGGGCTGGTGTCGGCAGTGGGGGCAACCTTAAGAGGCTGAGCCCTTCCTGTGGAGAAGGCTCAGACTTGATCCTCTCCAGGGATAAGCGTGGCCTATACAGCCTTGTTACTCAGTGTTGAAACCACTGCCCAGAGCTTAGGGTAGACCTAGACTCAGCTCCGCCACCCCAGACCCACTGCACCCGAACCTGCACTTTTAACAAGACCATCAGGCCATCTGCCTGGCAGCCAGGGTCCAGGGTGCACGAAGGTGGAGATGCTCAATACAGAACTGTCCTGGACAGGTACAGACTTTTTCATTGTCACCACTCACTAAAGGACACGGCATTAACAGGTGTCTACACAGCATGTTCCCCGCAATAGGTATTCTAAGTACTTCCAGAGGGGAAGGAGGAAGGCACAGTTACATGCAAATATTACCTGTGGCCTGTTACCTAAGGGCTGTGCGCATGGGGCATTTTGATATGCACGGGTCCTGGAGCCAAGCCTCCAAGGATGTGAGAGATACCTGTACTAGCTGATAATAGTGCTCATTACCCACTTACCATCTTCTTAACTAAGCTACCCAGAACAGCACACACCACTGGCAACTAGAGTGATTCTAATTTTCCAAGTAGGTGTTAAGAAGCCAGGTGGGACACATCCAGGCCAGGAACAGTCATCCCCTCCCCAGGATGAGCTCCCCAACATGAGGAGGGGGTGCAAACAAGGGAGGAAGGTCAATCACAAGAAAAGTTGACTCAAATAAGCAAAAGTAGTTGCTAATAGCAAACCAGAAAATATTCCTGTAATTCCATGAAAACAACCAGCAGTAAGCCTGTGATTCCCTGGATCCAGACACCCTTCGGATAGCCTCCTGGGCAAGACTCACGGTGATGGGTTTCAGCGGGTGGTAGTCCCCAAACTCCAAGGGCACGGCCTCCAGCCGGCACGATGCAAATTCAGCCTTGTAGTTCCTGCTCCTGGAACACCTGGCAAGGCAAGCAGACAGGAGGCTGAGCCGGCCTGGGACACGGGCAGCCCCCAGGACCACCCACTGGTGGAGCTAGAGCAGAACAAACTGCCAGAGACCAACACGAAACACCAGATTTAAACAAATTTGGTGTTTTTTTCTTTTAATCCTTTGAAGGTAGAAGAGCTACCAAGGCCTCCTGGACTTAGGAGGCCAGACCCAGAATGAAGGGCTACTCCTGATGGAGCCAGCTTCCCAGGCCAGCTTCTCCACGACATTTTGAATTCTAGGCACGGGCCACCAAAGTGCCTGAAGGAAGCCTTGTGGGGCCAGAGAGCGCCATGCTGGGGCTCACGTTTTCAGACAGCCGGGGCGTGGAGGAGCGCCAGGAGAGGCGTCCAGAGAAGAAAGAGAAATCTGGCCCATGCCACCCTGCAAGCACTCAGAGGGCAAGAAGCTGGACAGAGGGAAAGGAAGCCGGGACAGAGCTGTCATCAGCTCAGGGCAGCTGGGAAACAAAGGGTGAGGGAGAGCCAACTCAGTATGGAGGGAGGATGGAAAGTGAAGAACCTGGGACACAGGGGACACAGAGAAAAGGCCCCCGCTGCAGAGCAGGCTCCTAGGGTGGAGGAGATAGGCAGCCGCAGGATTCCAAGGGGTGACAGCCGAGACTCCCCCCCAAGAGCACCTCCCCCAACATCCAACTGCTGGGCCTCCCCCAGCAAGACCCCAGGAGGCACCTTGGCCAGAGCCCCTCCTGAAACTCCTCCACACAATTCCCCACTAGCTACCCAGGGCCGCTCTCCCAGTTCATGGAGCTGAGCCCCTTGTCCCCCCTACTGCAACGGCCCCCTAAATACAGCCTACCTTATGGCTTTTAACAAACATCACAAAACACTGTCTTTAACAAAGGACATGGGCACTTCCAATTTGTAAATATCCCCTCCCAGAAGAAAAAAAAAAAAAAAAAAAGCTTTTCTGGGCACAAGAAACAACTCTGCCCCTTCCCCAACTTCCCTTCAGGGAAAAGGGAGACTCAAAGGGCCTCCCACCCCTCCCCAGAGTCGTAGGAGACAATGCCACGGCACAGCCTGGGAGGGGGGTCTTATTTCCATTCCTTTCAAAATAAATTTGGCTTCAAGAGCAAAGGAGGAGGAAGACTTGTGATGGGCACTCGACTTTTATTAAGAGAAAATACCAACCACGATGATACATGGCCTCCTCGTCCCCGTGCATCAGTTACAAAACTCATCTTCCAAACGCTGAATGAAAACCCCATGGAAGAGCCTAACCAGCTCCTGACCAACTGAGGACAGATCAGTCCCTTCTTGATTTACGACAAATAAAAAAAACCCCAAAGGATAAACACATTTCAGTAATAATCATTACCATGAAGATGGAATTTAAAACATCAAATTATACTTTTCCTCTTTTCAAATCACTCTCAACTTTATTAGCTGTCAAGGAAAATAGAATTTTGAAAAAGTAATGAGCAGAAAATGTAATACAACTGGAAATTAGGTTGCAAATGTGTTTCCTGTTCCTATCGGAATCGACAGACAACTGGAAAGGGTCAACACGCCACGACTCCACCTGCGACCCATAAGAGTTCTCATTTATCATACGCAGGGTTCGGGGTCAAGCCTTTTACCTCCACTCCCTTTAATCAGCTCTATCTGGTGGACGGTGATCACTGACATTTTTCAGAAGACTGGGCTGTTCAGTGTTGGAAATTTGTCAAAGCTGACAGCAGCAAGTAACAGAGTCAACAGTTCTACAGATTATAAGTCATCTCAAAACCTTAGAGATAAAGCATCTGTCAGCCAGGCATTGTGGTCCACTCCTGTAATCCAAGGGACTCAGGAGGATGAGATAGAAGGATCACACATTGGAGGCCAGTCTCAGCAATAGTGAGATCCTGCCTTAAAAAAAAAAAAAAAGTGTAGCCAATTGTCTATTTAACAGAATTAAGCTTTGAAATGATATTTCTTAAAAGTTGGGACGTGAGTGGAAAAAACTGCTTCCAGAAATAATGTTTTTTTAAACAAAAGTCTTCCTTGTCTGAAAACCCCTGGGCAACTACAATTTGAATTTCAACCACTTCCATTATTTCCTCAAATTTGCTGCAGTCCTCTGCCTTTCCTGTGGTTTGAGACTGGAAGTGGTGTTTTCTTTCATCTGAGAGTCCCTGGCAAAGCTGACAGCGACCTCTAGTGGACATTTTCTCAAAACCGCTTCACTCCTCCTTTTCCTCCAGGCCCAGCTGATGGCCCTGGTTTTGGGAAAACAGACAGACACACACACACACACCATGAACCAAAGATCCAGTGCCTGAAGGGCTCCTGGGCTCCTTGGCAGCTGCCACAGAAAAAAGAACAACACTTCACTCCTGGGTTACTCAAAGTGTGGCTCTCAGGTCACTAGCAAGGGCAACCCATCACTTGTGGAGTGTTCCAATACCCTAGGACCACAGCATCAGGACCTGCATGGTAGCAAAATCAGGTGGCTCCAATGCACATTAAGGTAACAACTCCCTACATGAAAATTGTTTATATTTGATGATATACACAGAAGATGGAGCATGACTTACCAAATTAATCTCCTTTTAGTAGAAATACCAAAATTCACTAAAGGGTTCTTGCCAGCTATTTCAATTCAAGTATTTAGAGACTAATCACATAATCTGGCCACGTGGCCTTTCCTCACACAACTTCCAAAACTCTGAAAATGTTGTAGAAATCCTGGCTCCATGGGGTGGTACTTTCCAATGTGTTACCACCAGATGATTAAGTAGGAAATGAGACCAGGGATGTATGGGATATCTCATCTCTTGGGCAGGGCCAAAAATTAAGATGTGGGTGAAAAGGCATTCTAGGGGAGACCCAGGACAGTGTATGGAACTTGGGGAGCCCTATATGCCACAAACAGCCCAGGAGTTAGACTTGAGGCCCAACTGGCAATGATGATCATGATCTCCAGCCTCCAAACCTCAGCTCACCTGTGGGTTGCGTGCTCAATCCCCGAGCCTCCATCTCCTCACCCGAGGAATGGAGTTAAGAATTAAATGAGATGCTACGTGTGAGGCACTTCGCCCAGTTTTCCTGGCACAAAATAGGGCTTGATAAACATCAGCTGAAAGCACCTCTACACAAAGATCTAGCACAGCTGTTCCTAACAGTACCTGAGTAGCATTCGACCAAAGGCCCCCGGGGGTTCCTTGTTCGCTCATCAATGCTACTGAGCCCTTAAAGCTGCTGTTCTGGGCACCCAGGAAACGAGAGGACAGAGTCCCTTAAATGGCCAAAAGTTAGTAAGGAAACTGACCTTGGAACAGGCACCAACACTGAGAAGCCAGATTAGGAACCAGGGAGAACCTAGGTGCTTAAGGGTCATGGAATCCTAGAATTTTAAAACAAACACCAAAATTTAGTACAACTGCACTGGGAAGCAGGGGAAGTCAGTCCTCCCGGAGCTAATACCAGAATCCAGAGAAGTTCAATGAAATCAGGAGTTTCTCGAACTTGGGGCGCTGTCTTGCTGATTTCCCCCAAGTGTGCTCGGTCTCTTGGCCAGGCCAGCCTCCCTAGGTCAAAAGGGACCCCAGGCGAGGGGGACCAGGGCATCCAGCACCGATTAGTGTGCCTCGGAGGCCACAGGTGATGAACAAGGAGCAGTCAACTGCTTCACAAGCATAAACCCAGGGTGCATCGGGTGACTTCTAAGGTCTTGGGCTGCACCTTCTTTCACTTGCTGGCTCTGGCTCGTTCATCATCCCATGTAAGCTACTTCCCACCATTTGCAGAGAGATCAGATTATGTCCCTTCTGAGCAACTACAAGAGAGGTCTGCCGTCGCCAAATAATCCCCTTGTCCCCATCACAACCTGTGCGAGTTCCTCACGCACACCAGTCACCTGCTGGGGCCTGACGGTCCCGTCACCCCACTGTAACCCCACACGCCTGTCGCGTGATGAGCTCCAATGCATCCCGCAAGACCCAGTTTAAAGCGACTCCTCCATGAAGCCAACGCCAGAAGGCGTGAGTCGCTGCCGCCTCGGGGCCTCGTCCCAATGCCTGCCGGACAGCTAGGGCGTGGGCAGCACCGCACCGCCATCCCCTCAGACCAAGGGGCAGCACGGACGGGCGGCGCGGGGTTCTCCCAGGTGAACGCGCAGCTCTGGCCGCAGCCAGGCCGCCGAGTCTCCCCGACCCCACGGGCCGGGAACCTATGCCCGCCTCTCCCGGGAAAGTCGGGGTGTGGAAACCCGCGGCCCCCCTGGGGAATGCACGGAGGACCCTGCGGGCGGCGGAGAACCAGCAGCCGGGGCGACTCGGGGAGGGCTGTCCACACTCGCAGAGACAGACGCCAGGAGACAGCCCCTCTCTGAAGCCCACACGCCACCTCTTCCTTACCACGGAAAGACAGCCATCTTCCTAGTCACATGACCGCTCTTCTGGGGCCGCCAGCCCTTTTTCTAGCATTCGGACGCCGCCACGCCCCTCTCTGGCCGCCATGATTGTGAGGGGCAGCTGTTTGCTCCGCCTCCCCAGGCTGCGCCTTCTGATGACGCCAGGATGAGGCGGGGCCGACGCAGCCGAGCGGAGCCCAAAGTTCGGGCTCTCTGCTGCCGCCATGATTGTGAAGGGCACAGGCACCAAGTAGAGCCCACGATGCTAAGACCAGATCGCGGCTCCTGCTGGCGCCACGATTATGAGGGGTAGAGATGGCTACGTGGAATCCAGGCTGCTTCTCTGTCAACGCCGTTGAAAGGGATAGCTGTCGCTCCAGAGGCCAGGGTGCGCGTTCCTCCAGCGCCATGATTACTCAGGGCATGAGCCGCAGACGCGGTGATCGAGAGGGGCGGGCCCCCGGATTTGGAGTGGCAGCTGGCTGCTCTACTGGGTCATGTCGCCAGCCCACTGTCGCCCTGACGGGGCGGGGCTCGTAGAACTAGGCGCGAACCACGGCTGCGGATTGCAGCAGAGTCCCCGCGGTCGGCCTGCACCCTCCTGGCGGCTGCCCGGTACTTGAGAAGCCGGCTCTTCAGCACCGCGACCAGGAGCCTCGGCGTTTGAGCGCTGCCGGGAGCCCAGCGACCGACCAACGAGGCAGGTTAGGGCCGCTCCGCCCCCCGGGCGAAGGGAACGACTAGCCCACGGCCACCTGGTCTGAACGACCACCATCATCACCTCTTTGGGGACACTGGTGAATTGCTGCAGCTAGGAAGGATCTGAACATCCCAAACCAGAGTAAAGAGGCCCGGGTTGACCCTGGCTGCGCCTGAGCCTCTTCCCATTAATTCTCAGCGTCTTCTGACAGCAAAGGTCCGAGGCCCCCACTCCGTCAGATAAATCGGCAGTGGAACCCGCCTCGGCTGGTCTGCGGCTCCTGAGCCCGCGTTTCGGCCTCTGCCAGGAGGCAGCCCCAGGGGAAGGTGGAGGGTGCTTCCTCTCTGCGACGAGCAGAGCTGGTCCCCTGGACTGCCACCTCACCTCCCCGGCCGTCCAGGCTGGGCCTTGGCATCTCTAATCACTCCCCAGGCGGGCTAGAAAATGGTCACATTCCATACTGTGATCAGATGCTTTTCTGTCGATAAGAAAACAGATCAAACTAGATTTCCTTTGAGATGAAAAGTTTATTTGCCTTTGCCTAGAAGCAAAACTAGTGAAAATTAAAGTACAAAAATAAATACAATTTACATTAATGGACATTCCACCCAAAGTAAAAAAAAAAAAACAATAAAAATAATATATATAAATAAAACTTCATCAAAAGCACAAAACAGTGCCTGGCACTTTTATGAGAAAAAGCTGTGAACATTAAAAAACTTGGAACACACACACACACACACACACACCTTTATCCCTAAATTAAAACACACTCAAGTTTCTCACCCTCAATGTAAAACTAGTTTTAACTCCTTCCAAAACATACTATTTGTTTTAGCTAATTTGCATTACAATATACACAAAATCTGTAGCATCTATCTTACCAGAGAGACCCACAATGACATGAATTAGCTGTATCCTGAGTTTTCAGAATGAAAAAGCACAGTTTATCATTGAAAAGATAATTTGATATATTTTGCCTCTAAATACAAAACTGGTATCTTGGACTTTTTTGACTTTCTCATTTTCTGGTTCACTCATTCAATAATAAATAAGTCTCAATAAAGAAAATCAAGTTGACACCCAGTGTGAATTATTTTCTAACTACAGCTGGATGTAAAAGTTAAATCTTAAATGGAACAGAAAAGTTTTATCTCTGTATTTTTAAAATATTAAGACTATGTATAGGCTGTATTTCCAAAATACCACTACCCCATTAAAATTCAAGTTAAAAAAATTAAACATATACAGTTGCAATTTTATGCAAGAAGCACAAAGCCCTTTTGAGAAATTGTGACATTCTCCTTGATACAGCCATGCTCTCTTGGTAACATTTGTTGGTTGGTAGGTGATGAAAAACACTTTAGACATCAGTGCCCTTAGGTAATGCAAGTTTTTAACTAGGCAATGTTACTATCTTATTTTGAAATCCAGATTTAGTGTTATATTATTTAGCCCTTTATTCTCTCCTAAATCAAGCATGCTAGAAAAAGCAGACTATGAAGAAATAAAACAGACTAAATAGAAAACATAACCGCATGCAACATGGTATTCTTATTTTACAGAAATGGATATAACAATGCAACCTTAAATCTACATTCAAGATTGTGCTGCCTTCACCCAATCTGCTCCCCTCTATGCAAAGATCTAGCACAGCTGTTCCTAACAGTACCTGGGTAGCATGTGACTGCCAGGAATGTGTGCTTCTGACCAGGGACCCGCAGCTACTACTGCATTGATTTTAGGTGACCACAATCAGAGTGTGGTGAGGGTTTATTCTATGAGGTTATAATGTTTAAGTCCAAGAATATGGCCTCAAGTGCTTTAAGTTACAAAACCAGGGAGAAACATACTTGTGCAATAATTTCCCTTTGAATAGAACAGTATCTAATTTGTTTATCAAATTTAGCAATCAGTATGAAGAGATGAATGAAATTTATGTTTTAGAACTTATTTATAATTTGTCTTAACTTTTCTTATTTTGTACAAATAAGTCCAAATGTCCTTGTAAAGTTTACAAAAAGGGTCTCCATAGACATCTGGGCACAGAAAATATACTATGTTTCTACAGGTTAAGCACAGAAATGAGGCAATTACTAAACAAATTTGTCTACACCCAATCCTAGGTTAAGAAGAAAATGAGGAGTGGGGCGGGAATTACCAGATAATTGCTCAGCCCTTTGATGTCACTCTGCCTATGTAAACAGAGTCCAGGGTTAAACAGAAAGTCTTGGTCAGGGAAAATAATACAGACAATAATCGTGGCTCCCTTTCTATCCTAATGAATGTTGTCTTCTTAAATTGTCGCAACATTTGGCCGCTTTCTTTGGATTTTTCCTGCATATACTCCTAAAAAGAGAACAAAACTAGTATTACTTCTCAGGGTTAGTTTTCATATGATACCATTTAATGAGTGCTTACTACACTAAGGCACCAGGCCAGGCAACATTCAGCATCATATTTAACCCTTACCAACAGTAACCTTGAGGTAGGTAGAAACTGTTTCCACCATTTCAAGGATGGCATGGTACTGAGGCCTGGTGGGGATCATGCCTGAGCCAGCAGAGCTGGAAGCGGAAGCTCCTGGAAGCCAACTCCACTGCGTTTGTTATGTGACTTACCCATTTCTCGTGACTACTTTCTACTCTGCTCTCATTAGTGGTTTCGAATTTGTCTACAGACTCTCTAGTCCAGCACAAAACATCAAATGAGGAAATGTTTAAAAACATGGCACCAGAGACTGAAATCTAGTTTGTGAAAACTAAATAATTTGAAATGCCTGGCAACATACTTGAACATGCTTTAGAGTCCTCCTTCAGTCTACAGCATGACATTCTACCATCAATATAAAATGAGTTTCCACTCCTTGCTTAAAGGGACCAAATCAGAGCACAATTTCAAATTTGTTTAAAACATAATCCAAGCCAGGTATGGTGGCCCATGCCTATAATCACAGGTTCAGAAGGCTGAGGCAGGAGGATCTCGAGTTACAGGCCAGCCTGGGCAACTTAGTGAAACCCTGTCTCAAAATAAAAATATAAAGGGTTAGGGATGTAACTCAGTGGTAGAGGATCTCTGGGTTTGATCTCCAGTACTGAGGGGAAAAAACAGAAAAAAACACCATAATCCAGGCCATATAAATCTGAGCAGGACAGAGTAATTTTTCAAGAGCAAATATGCACTCTTGTGTTCAGATTCATCAATAGTATTTTAATCAGTATGCAAAATTCTCAGGTTATGTAATAAAATTCTTTAGTCTTGTTCAACTGGTTAAACATGTAGTCATATACTGATAAATATTTAGAAAAACAAGTTAATGTACTTTAGATACATATTGTTTAGCCAAAAGTTAATTTCATTTGTTTTTGTTTTTGTTGGTTTTTTTGTTGTTGTTTTTGGTACCAGGGGCACTTAACCACTGAGCTACATCCCCAGCCCTTTTAATATTTTATTTGAAAGAGTCTCACTCAGTTGCTTAGGGCCTTGCTAAGTTGCTGAGGCTGAAGTCATGATCTGAACTCATGATCCTCCTTGCCTCAGCCTCTAGAGCTGCAAAGATTACAGGCATACACCACCATGCCCAGCTTAATTTCATTTTTATTTATAATTATGCTACATTCTGACATGGCGACCCAAGCCTGAAATCCCAACTATTTGGGAGACTAAAGCAGGAGGATCTCAAGTTTGAGGCCAGCCTGGGCAATTTAGCAAGACCTGTCTGAAACTACAATTTTAAAAATGGGGGTTAAGAAAGTAGCTTAATGGTAGGGTACTTGCTTAGCATGAATGAGGCCCTGGGTTCAAAAACAAAAAAATCATGTTGCCATGTAATTAAATCTAAATAAATATAAATACTGAATTTGATTGTATATTATTAACTGCAATGACTCCTGTTCATCCTTTGTACTGATGAGTACTACTTAATTGAAATTCTAGTCACTACTCTGCTTATTCACAAGTGACAAATAGTGGAGATGAAATGCATGAGAAAAGAACATGGAAAATAGTCACTGTGGCAAA